AAAAAGAAAAAAAAGAAGAAAAAAGAGAGAAAAAAACCCCCTAGTGGTTTACAACATAACGATTCTCATTTCTTTCCTCATTGTGATGGTTCTCTAACGGAAAGACATTGTGGGAGGTTGGCAGGTTGCTTTGGTGCGGTTTGCTCTTTCTTCCCTATCAGCATCTATCGTGCTTATCTCTCCTCCTTTTTATGTTTATTTCTCTCTGGTAACACTTCTAATCTTCGGCAATTGTATGGCTTGATGTTGTGATGCAAGTGCCGTAAAACTCTCACTAAAATGAACGGAAAGGCTTTTAGCGAAAATACGGGACAATTTTCCTCCTTAAGTCTCATAACCACGTGGTTGTCGGGGAAGCGGATGGCCCTGGCACCTCGCCCCCAAGCGGCGAAACAGCAGCCCGCCTTCCGACCGGCACTGCCAACAACTTACTCATGATAATCACATGGATCGATACTTAAATGTGATTGGCCGAGCCGTCTGGCTGCGAACATGGCGGACAGGACTGGGAAAAATGACCAGCCTATGCGGAATGGAATCAACAACAGGAGCTCTCTTCCGCGACCCCATCAAAATGGCACGAGGGGGAAAGTATGTTTATGTATGTTTTCTTCTATTTTTCTTTGTCTTTCTTTTTCGTTCTATGACGAATGCCAAGTCGTGGGCGCTATAGTTATTGATTTTATTTATCCGATTGGTAAAAATGCCTTTTGTTCAAAATCACACTGGAAAACTCGGACAACCTGTCTATTTGACTCACGAAAAGTTTCTAATTGTTATTATTTCATAAGTTAGTAATAAAAGAATAAAACAAATCAAACGATTTATAAACGATCGAGAGACGTCACATAATAATAACACTAAGTAAACAAAAACAAAGCTAAAATGCTTTGTGCGTACATTATTTTTAAAAGTTATTAGTGAACGCGTTATGTCACTAAAGCTGCCCCACCGAGCATCACATAACTGCGTTAAGAAAGGATTGTGAATGCGTTTAGGTAAAAAGTTTGCTTGTGTGTTGTGGTTTATGCACCTTGCAGGAGACTGTTGTGAACACTGACATCCTCAACCGTAAGTAGATGATGTGAACGCTATAATATTTCTTCTTACTGTCCTTGTCAATGATGCTGAAGAAACTTGATGGTAAACTTTCAGCAGACCTACTTCCAGAAACGCCCACTTTACTCTTTTTAGAACATCGAATTTCATTTTACGACCCCCACCCCTACTCCCAGAATATAATATTTATTAGTGTTTTTATATAGGGTAATGACGAGTCCGTGTGTTTACAATGGTTATAATGTACGAGTGTGCCCATATATTTTTGAGTGTGAAGGAGAGAAAGAGCGGTTAAGTGTACTTAGGTGTGTATGTGTGCGTTTGTGTGTGTGTGTATGTGTGTGTGTGTGTGTGTGTGTGTGTGTGTGTGTGAGTGTGTGTGTGTGTGTATGTGTGTTTGTGCGTCTGTGTGTGCCTATCTTTGTGTTTAGGTAAGAGGGAAATAGGAACAAAAAAGACAGAGAAAGAGAGGGAAAGAGAAGAGAAGAGAAGAGAATA